TAATGAACCTTTTACAAGTTAAAACGGTCACTATTAGTCCGAGACAAGAATTTAGCTTGTGGTAGCGCATACCTTAAAGTAATACACTGATTCATTATTTAGTAAACATGTATACTCTTTTCGACTTGGATGGCTACCTGCATGCCCTGCGGTAGAGCGCTGTATGGGCGCGCATAGCGAAAATTTCCTGCGCCTTGGTTCGACATCTCAGCACGTGAAAGTACTATCCGCCAAATATAGAACATTTTTGATTTGATAGTTGAGATGCTGTTTAATAATCTCAACACGCATGCACCTGCTCTTCAACATTAACTTGTGACAAACACTATCCCTTTCAAAATTATTTACTTGACAACAAAAAATCAATAGTTGTAATTATGGGCGTTATTACTGATTATTAGATGACGAGCATTTGAAAGAGGTAAACCGTGAAAACCACTTAGATAATCACTTGCTAAGCTATCTCTTGTAATCTGTCTGGAATACGCATCGTCACTTCGTTTTTTGCGAAGCGTTTCGCTTACTTTGAGCTGCAACTATCAGTTTCAGAACTAGTTTCAAACTGTGAGAAGCAACGCTTTACCTGCTTTATTGTAAGTTTTCCTGTTTCTGCAGCTTGAATGCACGCACCCATGTTGACGGTATCTTCTGTGCTTCCCTTATATGCCGGAGCAGAGAATAGCGTTATCAGGCGACCATTGGCCCAAGTTGCATAGCCATGTAAGGGTGCCTATTCACAACGAATGTTGATATTGGAATAGGAAAACCATAAAATTAATATTCTTAAATCTATCAATAATCAGTAAATTACTTAATAAAAATGTACAGTATTACGAGGCGAGTTTGCATAGTGTTAGATACTACGGATTTTAGGAAAGAGTTTCAACACACCTGATGCCCTCGAATAATCATTTTTACTCCTAAACGTTCGCATGTCTCTTTAACGGCAGACTTAGAGAAAAGTTGACCGATACCCATAGTTGTTTCTCTATAATTATGATTAAATTCCACTATAATGTTAGTTGCAAAACACACCTTTCAAAATTTGGTTCATATTTCTTGACGTAATTGTCTGTGTCTGGATCTGACCAGACCAGATCGCAGGCTAGCGTTCCTTTGACAAACTCTTCGATAGGTCGTTCTATATTTTGTATGTCCTGGAATGGATCAGTAGGAAGATAACTTTAAAGTACTATTGATGATTGAACAAATTCCCACCTTAAGACTTGTTAGCATGGGACTGATACCGCCGTGCATAGCGAGAATATCGCCGCCTATCAAGCATGCAAGCGGTAAGTTAATAAAAACCTCCTTGAAATGCTTGTACATGGGACCGGGGCTCAACTGTGAAAATGACGTTGTCTTAGCTAGAATATTTCTACCCCTAGTTTACGTAAGATTTGAAATGTCATGTATTTTGAATATTTGTTCACCATCAAACTTGAGCTGGACCTCACTGATGAACGAGTATAGCTGATTTAAACTTTCTTCCTCATGATTTCCACGTATGATGAAAATATTCTCAGGAAAGCAGATCTAGAAAAGAAGAAGTTATATGCATAATTTCGCAAAACATCATTACTTGTAGGTTATTGAAACTGCGAAAAATCGTATTTTTTTGCAAAACGCGCCGACCTAATTTCTAATGGTTGGTCAATCCATCTTTAAAGGCTATATAAATAAATTATATATATATATATATACTAGCCGGCATGCCCGGCTTCGCTCGGCTTTTTACGTTTTCTGCGCTGTTTT